AGCCTGACTAATTTAGCAAAACATAAACTTTTCAAAAAGGGTTGAGATCAAGTATGGTGACACATGCCTGTAATCCCAGCACTCTGGAAGACTGAGACAGAAGAATTTCAAGTTCAATGTGTGTCTAACCTGGCCAACTTAACAGTTTAGCAAGACCCTTTCTGGGGAAAAGAAAAAGGATTTGGGAAAAGAAGCGTAGAGATGTAGCTCACTGTAAAGGCCATGAGTTCAATCCCCACTACTATAATGACCAAATCTCAAAGACAAAAGCATTACAGTCATACAATATGCTATCATTTTAAGGACTGCCAGATATGAAGTCTGGGATTTCTGTGGTAGGAGAAAGAGTAATAAAAGAAAATAGATTCATTTATTCTAGAATAAATGAAACCTAATGAATGAGGAATAGCCCTTTCTTTTAAAAATACACACAGAGGCCAGGGATATAGCTCAGTAGCACAGGGTGCAAACACAGGGTCCTAAGTTCGATCCCCAATACCACAAAATAAATAAATAAATGAAATAAAATAACATACATAATAACTGAAGTTTCTTTAATACAAGTTTGTATTAAATTTGACAAAGAAAGGGGCCAAGGATTTAGCTCAGTGGCATAAGCTCTGCCTTGCAAGCAAGGTTATCGTGAGTTCAATCCAAAACAAAACAAAACCCAAAAGCCAAAACAACAACAACAGCAAAATTGACAAAAGTGTTGAGTATGTGACATACTTTCTGTTAGTTTGAGAGTTTCTAAAAATTACATACATCTTTATTTCACCTCCTCCGCCAAATTACTGAATAAAATAAAAACTAGGAAGGGGAGAAAGGGATGTATAAACTACTAAGATATGTTATACATATCTTACAATGAAGTACAATGAAGATGCTCATGTACTGCAAACAATAAAAATGAATTTTAAAAATCTAATTAAAAAAATAAAAACTACAGAAAGTTAACTGCAATATTTTAAGCTTCTGGTATTGCTTAAATTTTTGTTATGCCAAAAAAAATTTTTTTGTTATGCAGAGCCGGGCGTGGTGGCTCACGCCTGTAATCCCAGCACTGGGGAGGCTGAGGCAGGAGGATCGCTGTGAGTTCGAGACCAGCCTAGGCTACAAAGTGAGCTCAAGGTCAACCTGAACTGCATATCGAGACCCTGTCTCAAAAAGACAAAAAAAAAAATTTTGTTATGCATATCATGAAAAAGGCACTCTTAGGTGGGTAGTGGCACCCAGCACTCAGGACGCTGAGGAAGGAGGATCGCTATGAATTCAAAATTGTTCTGGGGTACACAGTGAGTTCAAAACCAGTCTGAAAAGCTTAAGAACAGGTCTCAAGCAAAGAAACAAAAAGGTATTCTGATTTTTTGACTCTAGAGGGCCATCATCCTTTTAGAGAAATAATGCAGAATTCCAAGTAGGTTCTATTCCAAAGCACTTACAATTCCGATTATTATCAAGAAAACACAGCAAAGTGTAGTGGCTCATGCCTGTACTAATTCCTTGAGGTAGGAGGTTCACCACAAGTTTGAAGCCAGCCTATAATACATAAGGCAAGTTCAAGGCCAGACTGTGCTGCAAAGTGAGACCCTGTCACCAGGTATGGTGGTGCACATCTGTAACCCCAGCACTTTGGGAGACTGAGGCAGCTCGATCACTGTGAGTTCAAGAACAGCCTGGGCTACAAAGTGAGTTCAAGGCCAATCAGAACTGCACAGAGCAACCCATCTCAAAAAGAAACAAAAAAACCCAAAAGTTTCTTTTAAAGAAATGAACTTAGGGCTGGGGGTATAGCTTAGTGGCATAAGCACCTGCCTGGTAAGTGCAATGTCCTGAGTTCAATTCCCAGGAAGGAAGGAAGGAAGGAAGGTAGGAAGGAAGGAAGGAAGGAGAAACAAAGAAAGAAAGGAACTTATTAAATGTCTTAAATAACTATTGAATGTAGTAGTTCAACAGAATACAATAAACTTGTTCCACAGGAATACAATTCCACAGAATACAATTCAACTTGTTCCACAGGAAATTCAATTCAAAGGTTCTGCCTCCTAAGCCATCCTACTTTCAGCGACTGACTTCTAGAGGAAAAATTCCAAAAAGCAAAGAAATTCAGAAGTTCCCTCAACGCGACCAAAGAACTGGACTAAAAGCAAAGCCAAAAAGATTTTACATGTGCAGAAAATACAGAGGAAACTACCTTGTGTATCATATACTCATACCCCACAAAACTAAAAAATATGATTTAGAGATTATTAAATAACCAAAAGCAGGGTGACAGGAATGTTTCCAACACAGACTGGTTATAACAGACTGCTGCCAATCATTTCATGGTGCAATAAGGTCTATTAATATCTGAAAGTTAAATGAGTTAAACCATACTAAGAAAAACTTAGAAGAATGGCTATCGTCAAACAATTATCCCGCTATTTTCAAACAATTATGCCAAACACAGAAAAAAATGTATTTGAAAATAACTGTACTGGGGCTGGGGATTTAGCTCAGCGGCATAAGCGCCTGCCTTGCAAGCAGGCAGTCGTGAGTTCGATCCCTGGTACCGATAAAAATGAAAAAGACCAAAAAAAAAAAAAAAAAGAAAAGAACTGTACTAACTGTTCAAGGACTGCTATTTGACAAAGGATAAGTATGGAAAACTTTGTTAACTGCAGCTGTAGTGGATTATAATAAAAGCCTTGTTTTAAGACAAAAGCAGTCAAATAATAAAGTGACCATAAATTTGCCTTTTCCAAAGAAAGTACTAATCAGATAAAAGGCAATACAAGAGACAAAATACAAGAAAATGCAACTGAGTAAATTTCTCACATAAAACTACAACATAAACTCTGCTTTAAGAATTTTCATAAATTTTTTGTGTCGAAGTTAAATGTAAAAGGACTGGGGATATAGCTCAGTGGTAGAATGTGTGTAAGGCCCTATTTCAATTTCCCAGCACCAATTAATAAAGAAAAAGAGATAAACCCTTTTGAGTGTTAGATTAAGAAACCTAATACATACATCAATAAGACATTTTATAAATAGACTTTAGTTAAAAGCTTTTATCTTCAATCAGCATATATTATAGGAATCCCTTCCATTCTACCAATTCCAAACTCAGGTTTTGCCACAATTCCCAATTACTTAGGCAAAAATATTAAAATTTGTAACTCATTATTTTGGGTTTTTTTGTTTTACAAATTGCATGGTAGAAGGTCATTCTCGCCAGTATCCACTTGTCTCAACTATGTTGTTCCAAATATTTTTGGGGAATTAAAACCTTATCCCCTGAAATTAGATTTTGCTGAACAATGCTTTGCTAGGAAAGTCAGCACACAAGCTCCATTCAACACAACTAATGTTCCCAGTATCTATAAAACCTATATTTGACCCTGAAGAATACAGCTTAACACAGACACAGCAGTTTTTTTAATTTGTCCTTATTAATTACTTGTACCCTTAACAATAATTTTCTTTTTTTGTTAACAATAATTTTCAATACATGCATCTAAAAAGTATAGTGTACGTTGACCATAAAAGAGAAGACTTGGTAAAGATACTGCACTTACATAATATTGTAAAAATGTGCTTTTACTAGGTATTCAGTGACTATCAAGTATGAATACTAAACATTCCGGTATCAATCCCAGTTTCTACAAAGTTGACCCAATTTAAGGCATGAAACTTAAATTTTACCTTTAGAAGGGTAGAAAACAAGAGTTAAGTAATTCGGTAGTCCTAAAAATACACATCACAACTACATGACTAAGCTACTCATTTAAAATTTGTGCCAAAATAACCCCTCCCTTCAAAACAAACTAAAATTGACTCACTGGCCTACTTTACTTAATTTTGGAAATTAAAAAAAAAATGGATTCCTAAGCACTCATTTCCTCTACAATTTAAAATATTCAAATCTTCAATCTGGGATTCCTTGCTGTGAAAATACTAAGTCAAAACACAGGGGGAAACATAACCGACTATCTCCAAGTCAGCTACCTACACTGAAGTTTAAGAAATAAAAAGCAAGAAAGAAAAACCTGGATTCTGTCGTTATTTTTATAACCACTGTTCTAAAATCATTCAATAGAAACAAAAACGTCTACGGTCACTGCCTAAGGAACAATCTCACCTAGAGAAACCGTCTCACCTCGGATAACACGACCCTATTCGCAGGAATTACCACCTGAGCAAAAGCTTTCAATTTTGTTTCCCTGAAGTGGGAAACTATCAATCTCCCTACAAGACAAGTTCCACCTTTTGTGGATGTTTTTACACGGATTAAAAAAAATGCTAGCAAACTTGGTGGTGAGTGAGGACAAAGGGCATTTTGAAAGAAGCACTGACTGAGATAAATAGAAAACTAGGACAGAAAGGGCTAAATTAAAAGTTCCTTCAACTGGTTAAAGACAAGACAACGTAAGCACCCCTTTCTCCTTTATTCTTTTTAACTACCTCTAGAGTCTTCTTCATTACCATGCACTGAAATGCAAAGTTGGAAATAGCATTTCCCCCCAAAAGCCCAACGAATCCTCAAAATGTCAGAGCACCCGCAGCCTAAGGAATGACAAGCTACTTCCCCTCCCCCACCCCACCCCCCAAAAAAGAAAAGTCCAATCCAGTAAGTGCAGGTCACTCTGCCCTCTGGGGCAGTTCCAGCCTGCGTAAGGAGGACTCAGAAGTGAGGGCGACCGCGGAAACAAGACCACCTCTTTCTCCACACGTCCTCAGCTGGGGAAACAAACAAAGAGCACTCCCTCCCCGGCAGCCACCGGCCCAGCCAGAGAGGCTTTCCCATTTCCCGGAGTAGTCCGGCCGCCCGCCCCCGCCCCATGACAAAGAAAAGGGACTCGGTGAGCGAGTCCTTCCTGGCTCCGCGGATGGGGGAGGGGGCTGCGAGGCGAGGAGCCCCTCCGCGAGCCCGCGCTCACACGCTCAGCCCCGAAACAGCCCCAACGCGCTGGGGAACCGAGGCCTCGGCGGACTACGCCGGGTCCGGAGGGGTGAGGTACCTTGAAGTAGCCGCCTTCGTAGAGAGTATTGGGGGGTCCGAAGATGGCCACCTCCCAGTTGTAGAGGTCGGACTCATCCACCAGGGTGATCCGGAAGCCCTCCACCGGTTCCTCCTGCAGGGATTTCAGTTCCAGCATCAGGGCCTTCTGCGAGCTGGTCATCTGCTGCTGGGCCATCGCGGCGGCAGCGGCCGTGCCGGGCCGGGGCCCCAGTCCTCGCGAACCGGCAGGGCCGGACCAGGCCCCTCCCTCCGCTCCGCTCGCGCCGGGCCGCCCCGGGCCCCTGCCTTCACACCCTCGGCGGGCCGGACCAGGCCCAGACGGCCCGTGGGCCCGCCCGGGTCCTCCTCACACGCGACACGGGCCGGGCTGGGCCCTTCTTCTCACACTCGGGCGGGAGGGCGGGGGAGAGACAGGGGAGCTCAGGGAATTCGCTCCCGACCCCGGGCCTCCCCCCCCAGGGGGCCTCCACTTGGGTAGGGAGAGGTGGTGGAAGCGGAGGTAGGCGGCTGAGGGCCGGCGGCTGTACAGAGAGGGGGCAGAGCCCGCCCGGGAGCGCCGCGCTAGCTCGCCCTCTCGTTCTCCTCGGGGGCCGCCGGGCCGGAGGGCGCGCGGGGTTGGCGGGGGAGGGGTACACGGGGGTCTCGCGGCGGCGGCAGCGGCTGCGTGGGGGGAGGAGCGGAGAGGAGCTAGAGCGCCTCGCGCCGCAGGAGCGACGGAGCCGAGAGGGAGGGAGAGTGGCAGGAGGGGCGCGCCGGGCGGGGCGGGGGGCGGGCAGGCGGCTCTCGCGGCTGGCGGCCCGACGCGCGTGCGCACGCCCCTCCCTCCCCTGCCCGCATCACCCCGCCCTGCTCCTCCTCTTTTCCCCTTCACTGCCTCCTCCCTTCCAGCCGGCGAGGTGGCTGAGCTTTGTGACGCCGACGTTTGTCCTCCCCCGGTTAAAGCCGCAGTAGAGACAAGGGCGGGCTTCTGGGGATTGCTTGGGCCCTGGCTAAAGGAAGTGTTGGTTTGATGCCGCGACTTCAGGGGCGTGCCCCGGAAGAGAATTCAGGTGCTAGAGCTTCTAACACACCATATATGTATCCACGGGCCCCTCCCTGTGACACCCAGTCTGTTGTCCACGTAGTAGGTGCTTGATTGCAAAGAGCTGAGAGCCCGGAATGGTGGCGCGCGTGTCTGTAACCCCACCAATTAGGAAGGCTGAAGCGCTCGGATCACTGCAAGTTCGAGGCCAACTTGGGCTACAGAGCGAGACTTTGTTTTCCCAAAGTGGGGGAAGACTGCTAAAAATGTTAGTCTTAACAGTGCAAACAGGCCCTCCATACATGTCTGCACAGTGTGCGGCTGGACGAGTCACCCACCTTTAAGGGGGTAGTTTCACAAAGAAGGACCTGAGGAAGGCAGATAAGCCAGTTCTTACTTCCCACCTTAATTGCAAAGAGGAAATTGGGAGGAAAGAGTAAGAACTAGTTACTAACCAGGCTTGACAGCACACATCTGTAATCCCAGCACCCTGGGAGTCTCAAATTGGAGCCAACTTTGGGCAATTTGGTAAGACCCTGCCTCAAAAAATGAAAAGGGCTGAGGAAGTAGCTCCGTGTGAAGGCCACACAAAAACAGAAAATAAGTACAGACTGAGCTTAGATTCCTGGCTTTTGTCAGTGTGATGTGGGGCGAGAGCCTTGGCTACACCTCAGGTTACCCTTTTTTTTTTTTTTTTTTGGCCTTTTTCATTTTTATCGGTACCAGGGATCGAACTCAGGCGACTGCCTGCTTTCAAGGCAGGCGCTTATGCCGCTGAGCTAAATCCGCAGCCTGTAAGTTATCCTTTTGTAAAATAAGGTACAATGGTTGGACTTTGATCTTTAAGTCATTCCAACCTCAAAGTGAGCGACTTTTGAATAATCCTGACTGAAGTGAGAGGTGGAAACAATTTTCATGATTTAGGAGACTTCTTTCTCTCAGGAAAGCATGACCTGTAACTGCCTCAACTCTAAACCTTATCCTAGTAAAGCCAAGATAATTGTGAGCGGTACATACAGTTTTGGGCTTCATTCCAACCCTGGCAACGCGATACATTTTTTACTTCTTCCTGATTCATCATTGGCTTCTGTAAGAGCAGGTTAACTGAAGTGACTAGTACATGGTAAGTGACCCATAAATGGAAATTTTACAGAAATGAAAGACAAACATGGGGCTGGGGATTTAGCTCAGCGGCATAAGCACCTGCCTTGCAAAAGCTTCGTCGTGAATTCGATCCCCATACCGATTAAATAAATAAATAAATAAAAAGACAGGCATGATGGTACTCCCTTGTAATCCCCACCCTCTGGGAGGCTGAAGCAAGCACATCCCAAATTTGAGCCTAGCTAGGGAAGCTTTCTGATTTGGCCAATCTTAAAATAAAAAATGACTGCAAATGTACCTTGGTGTGAGGTCCTACATTTAATCTCTAGTACCACAAAATTAGGCCTAAGGTATTTATTTTTTTCCCCACACTAGTACAATTTGAACTAATCACTAAGTTGGATACTTTACATTTTGAAGCAGAAATCAGCAGCAATGCGATAGGAAACCAGACAAAGCATTGAATTTTATTTATGTATTTATTTATTGGTACTGGGACTCGAACTCAACATCTCATGCTTGCCAAGCATGCATTCTGCCAAGCTATATCCCAGCCCCAAATCATTGAATTTTATTTTTTCTTAGTTTTTTTTTTTTTTTTTTGTATCAGGAATTGAACTGTTTGCCAGGCAGGCACCATGCCCCTGAGCTATATCCCGAGCCCAGCATTGAATTTTAAATGCAGACTTCTTTTTTTTTTTTTTTTTTTTTTGTCTTTTTGAGACAGGGTCTCTCTATACAGTTCAGGCTGGCCTTGAGCTCACTTTGTAGCCAAAACTGGTCTCAAACTCACAAACATCCTCCTGCCTCAACCTCTGGAGTGCTGGGATTATAGGCGTAAGTCATCACACCCTGCTCAAATGCAGACTTTTCAAATGAAATGTTTGGCAAAGGGTATAGCTCAGTAGCACAGGTACCTGCCTGACAGTCGCAAGATCCAGAATCTGGTTCCTGATTCAAAAAAAAAGTTTTCAGAACTAGAATTAGGATAGTTAATATTCATCCACAAATCATTATTATAGGTACTATTGTTCTTGTGCTAATAGAGAATTTCATTTATTTTTAAATAAATTTTTAAAAAATTTATTTTAGTTGAGTTTTATCAATCCTGTTATGCATGTAATCTTTTCCATATTCAAGATTTGTAGTTGAAAAGTTTACTATAGGGGGCTGGGAATTTAGCTCAGCGGCATAAGTACCTGCCTTGCAAGCAGGCGGTTGTGAGTTCGATCCCCGGTACCGATAAAAATGAAAAAGACAAAAAAAAAAAAAAAAAAAAAAAAAAAAGAAAATCATTTAAAAAAAAAAAAAAAGAAAAGTTTACTATAAAAAAACAAGAACAGGGGGCTGGGAATTTAGCTCAGCGGCATAAGTGCCTGCCTTGCAAGCAGGCAGTCATGAGTTCGATCTCTGGTACCAACAAAAACGAAAAAGACCAAAAAAAAAAAAAAAAAGAGAACAAAAAATTGTATTGTTTTTGCAGATAAATTTATTAGAATGTGTAAAAAACATTTATTAGGCCTACCTACAATCTAGATACCAAGTTTTTATTTTGGTTTGCTGTTTTGTTTTGTTTTAGAGACAGAGGCTCCCTAAATTGCCCAGTGTGGCCTCAAACTCATGATCCTCCTGCCTTAGCCTCCCAGAGTGGGATTGTATATATGTTCCAACATGCCTGACAATGCATTACTTTTTTTTTTTTTTTGGCAATGCATTACTTTTATCATTTTTTTTCTTTCTCTTTTTATTGGTAATGGGGATCGAACTCATGACCACACACTTGTAAGGCAGGTGCTTATGCTGCTGAGCTAAATCCCCAGTCAATGCATTACTTTTAACTGAAATTCATGTTTATTCATAGTTTCTTTAGTAAAAACCAGTGTCCTTTTTCTATTCTATCCAAAATACCAGTCTACATTTAGTTTTCTTTCTTGTTTCTATGTTTCCTTCGGTTTTTTTATTTGTTTGTTTGTTTGTTTCTTTTTTGATACAGGGTCTAGCTTTGCAATGCAGGCTGGCCTCAAACTCACAGCAGTCCTCCAGCCTCAACCTCCCAAGTGCTGGGGTTGTTGGCATGTGCCACCATACCTGGCCTCTAACCCTTTTTTTGTTTGTTTGTTTTGGTACGGGAGATGGGGATTGAACTCACAACTTTGCACTCATCAGGCAGGCACTTACACCACTGAGCTAAATCCCCAGCACCCTTTTTTTTTTGGCAATCTTGATAATTGTGAGGAATATACTCAAATACTTTGTAGATACTTCATCAGTTGGGATTTGTCAAATTTTTTCTCGTAAAAAAAAAAAATTTTTTTTTCTCGTAAGACGGGTTATATATGCATGTACAACTCCCCATGATGAATGTAATTATTATACACTGGAAACATGTACTAATACAAATTTTTTTTAAAAGACCAGGGTTAGAGCCAGGTGTGATGTCGAACTCCTATAATCCCAGTGTTTACATGGCTGAGGCAGGCAGATCATCACAAATTGGAGACCAGCCTGGCTGGCTATAAAGTGAGCCCAAGGCCAGCCTAAACCGCATAGTGAGACCCTGTCTGAAGAAAATAAAAGCCTGGGGTTAGAGGTTTTTTGAGGCAAGGTTCACAGAGGTAAAGTACCATTTTTATCACATATCAAGGGCACACAATAGAGCAGTATGACTCAGCACCACTGACGTTGACCTCAGCCACAGGGCTGACGTAATAATATGTTAGATCTGTCCACTGTAAAATGATTCTTCCTGTGCCCTTTTATACCTTTCTCCTTTTTTGGGTGGGTGGGGTCTCACTGTGTAGCGCAGGTTGGCCTTGTACTTGAGGTGATATCACTTCCTGCCTCAGCCTCGTGAGTGCTAGGATTACAGGCCTGCATCAACACACTGGATTTACTTCCTTTCTATGCTGTACTCTCTGGAAGGGAGTTACTATATGCAATTACAGTTAAGAAATGTCTCTCTGCTTTTTTCCCCCATAAATTAAGTCTAAATACTTTAAAGCATCATTCTTTTTTTTTTTAAGCATCATTCTTTAGACTTCCAATCTAGAGCTTGAAATCAGGCTCCACTGGAATTACTGTTGCCCTCAGAGGAGGAACAGCATCTCAATCAATGCAGCCCCCATCTCAAAATGCTGATGTGTGCTGAATTTGGTCCTCTCTTCCTCCATCACTCAGTTTAGGGACAAGAAAATTGCCAACCTGGAAATGTGGGAAATGATGTTGACACGTTCAATAGCAAAGCTGTGAGTAGACAAACAGGCAGAAAATTCATCTTCAAAGCATTTCATCTGAGCCATGCAGGTATGATGGTACATACCTGCAATCCTAGCACACTGGCAGGCTGAGGTAGGAGAATCACCATGAGATGGAGGCCATCCTGGAATACGTAGTGAGACTTGTCTCTAAAAAATCAAAGATACAAACAAAACTCAAAGCATTTCATTCATGTAAACACATTATAGCTCCACCCTAACTTAAAAGATGATAGAACCCTTACCTCACCCACTGGAACACATACCTGCACTCAGACCAGAAGCTGTGCCCTGATCTCAGATCAACTCAGTGACTCAGACCAAGTATCCACTGGGGACATAACACTAAGGCACAAGGCTGGCAGCCTACCGTAGATGAGTTTTGAACTCAGTGATTGCCATTCCACAGGACTAGCTCATGTCTACTTATCCTAGTCAGTAAGACATGATTAGTAAGCTGCAACTATGTCTTATTCATCCCTGTGTCTCACAGTCAGCGCACTGTTTGACAGAGTAGACACTGTGTTACTGTTCTCAGACTCATGGCCCAGAACAAGAAAAGCAGCAGCTCACAAAACAGCAAATTGAACCTGACCTTGCACTCCAATATCTAGGCTCTCTCAAGCACATAGTAGGTGTTCAAGAGTATGAAGTATATAACTACATACCAGGCACTCCGATGTTTGTCAGGTAGTAGGGACTCAAAAAACGTATTTACTGAAAGAATAGCAGAAACAACTTCCTGAAGCTTTGGGTGTTCATTTCTTCATAATTACAGGTCTAGATTGAGTTGACTGATTGGTGCCCTCTTGTGGTAAAGTAATTTTTTCCCCCCGTTTTTCTGGTACCAGAGATCGAACTCAGAACCACCTGCTTGCAAGGGAGGTACTTACGCTGCTGAGCTAAATCCCCAGCCCTGATCCTTCTAAGGAATCATTACTTTTTTATTCCAGAGAAAAGATATGGAAATCTTGGTAAGATAACAGGACAGGTTTTTTTTTTTTTTTTGTCTTTTTGAGACAGGGTCTCGATGTGCAGTTCAGATTGGCCTTGAGCTCACTTTGTAGCCTAGGCTGGTCTCGAACTCGCTAGAGTCCTCCTGCCTCAGCCTCCAGAGTGCTGGGATTACAGGCGTGAGCTACCATGCCCAGCAGGACAGGTATTTTCTTCAGGAAAGATAATTGTGAATTGAAAGAATGATCCTCTTTTAAGAGTCCAACATTTTTTTCATTCAACATGTTAACAAGATTTATACATTGACCTTTGAAACTGCAGGTTTCCTTAATAATAATTAGGCCGAGGGATTTAGCTCAGTGGCATAAGTCCCTGCCTGGCAAGCACAAAGTTGTGAGTTTGATCTCTGGTACCAAAAGAAAAAAATAACAGTTAATATTATTGCTGGATGTGATTACCTATGCCTGTAATCTCTGCACTCAGGAGGCTGAGGCAAAAGGATCACTGTGAGTTCAAGGGCAGCTTGGGCTACATAGTGAGTCCAGGCCAGCCTGAACTACACAGAAAGATCCTGTCTGGAAAATAATACAATAATAATAGCTAATATTTACTAAGAATCACTATTACAAGTGAGTTCCTTATGTGAAACATCGTATTTAATTCTCACACAAATCCATTGCATGGTCATCAGTAAAATACTCATTTTCTGAATAAAGTAAGGCTTACAGAGGTTAAAAGTTACCCAAGGACAGTTGGCTACTAAATGCCAAAACCTGGAGATACCCTCAACCATCCCACTTCACTGTGACTGCTTTTACCCTCTGTATAGTAATGTTCATAGTCTAATGTGCCTGCAGAATCTGCCTAGCACAACACCCTCAATACTGTATTGCAGATATTTGCTCACTTCTTCCAGCCCCTTAGGTTCTCTTCAGAGAAAAGAAGCATTTGTTCCTTCCTCCATTCTCTCATTCAATACATATATGAATAACTAATGTGAGACTCTATGCCAGGGATACAGTAATAAATGAGACAGAAGTAATTGATCCCTGCCATTATAAAGCTTACATTCTAGTGGCTGATACAGAAAATGATGAAAACAAGCAGTCAATAAATAATATTACATGTTTTGGGAGTACTGTTGGAAGTGATTAAAAGTGTGGCTAAAAACAGTATGGCAAGATGCAGTTTTAAATGAGGGAAAAGGAGGAAACTACTTTTCTGGGGGAAGATCAGAGAGAGAGAACATCTTGCTAAGTGCCCCTAATCCTCTCAAGTGCTGTAATTACAAGCATTCACCTGTGCCAATCTGAATTTATATTTGAATACATAAAGGGAGCCTATGCTGATGGCACACACCTATAATCTCAGCCCTCAGAAGGCTGAGACAGGAGGATTGCTGCAAGTTTGAGGCAAGCCTGGCATACATAGGGAGTATAAGGCAACCTGAGCTGCATAATGAGAGCGTATCTCAGAAAACAAAACACAAGGGCTGGGGATTTAGCTCAGTGGCATAAGCACCTGCCTGACAAGCTCAAGGTCATGAGTTTGATCCCTGGTACCAAAAACAAAACAAAATGGGGCTGGGGATTTAGCTCAGCGGCATAAGCGCCTGCCTTGCAAGCAGGCAGTCCTGAGTTCGATCCCTGGTACCGATAAAAAGGAAAAAGACAAAAAAAAAAAAAAAAAAAAAAAACAAAACAAAAAAAACAGAAGAAGGGAACTGACCTCTGAAATGGGAGGGCAAGAATATTCTTCACATTTCTGGTTTGTGACCCAAGTCTTATTTAACTTACTCCCCACCACCACCTTTTTTTTTGGTCTTTCATGTAGTTTAGGCTTGTCTTAAATTCACTTTGTAGTGCAAGCTGGTTCACAGTAATCTTCCTGCCTCAACCTCCTAAATGCTGGGGTTATAGGCACAGGCCACTACACCCTGTTTAACTATTCTGGGCACCAAGCTCAAGACTTAACATTACTTGGATGTCTAGTATTATTATTATTATTATTATTATTATTATTTTAGGTATCAGAAATCAAACTCACAACCATGCCTTTGTTAGGCAGGCACTTATGCCACTGAGCTATATCCCTACCCCCTATTATTATTACTATTAATATGTGTGTGTTGCTAGGTGGTAAACTGAGATTCTATCATAGGCAAAAGGACAAGCTTTGCCACTGAACCCATGTGTGAATTCTTGACTTTTTTTTTTTTTTTGGTTATTCATTTATTGAGATAGGGTCTCATTATGTGGCCCAGGCTTGTCCTTAAACTTATGACCCTTCTCTCTCAGTCTCCGAAGTACTAGAAATGCAGGTGTGCACCAATACACCTGGCTGTCCTTTCAATGTTTCTGTGTTTAAAATTTAATAATAAACCCTGGGCATGGTGGTGCACGCTTGTGACCCTACCGCTCAGAAGGCTGAGGCAAAAGGATTGCTAAAAATTTGAACTTAGTCTGAACTGTATGGCAAGACCATGTTTTTTCCTGTTTGTTTTTGTTTTTTTGAGACAGGGTCTCGCTATGCAGTTCAAACTGGCCTTGAACTCACTTTGTAGTCCAGGCTGATCTCAAACTCTCAACCATCCTCCTGCCTCAGCCTCCCAAGTACTGGGATTATAAGCAGGCGCCACCATGCCAGGCCTGCGACCTTGTTTCAAAACACCAAAAAAATATTTTTTCTATTGGTCCGGGAATCAAACTAATGCCCTCACACTTGCCAGGCAGGCACTGTGCTGCTGAGCTATATTCTTGGCCTCTCAGCCCAATATTTTTTTTTTGTCTTTTTCCTTTTTATCGGTACCAGGGATCAAACTCACGACTGCCTGCTTGCAAAGGCAGGCGCTTATGCGGCTGAGCTAAATCCCCAGCCCCATCAGCCCAATTTTTCAAAAAATCATTTATTTATTTTGTTAGTTTTGAAACAGTTTTGCGGTGTAGTTCAGGCCGGCCTCAAATTGCCTATAATCTTTGTGTCTCAGCCTCCTGAATTCTGGGATTACAGCTGTGTGCTACTACTATCGGCTAAAATTTAGTAATAAATTTTCCAGTAAACATTTGTGAGGCTGAGACATAAGGACCGCTGAGTTCAAGGCCAGTCTGGGCTACAGAGCGAGCTCGACTCTAGCCTGAGTTACATAGCAAAACCGTGTCTAAAGAACCCCAGGGTCAGGGGATTTAGTTTAGCGGCATAAGTGCCTGCCTGGCAAGCGCGAGGCCGTGAGTTCCGTCACCGGTACCACATACAAAAAAAAAAAAAAAAGAATTCACAAATACAAAACCTACAACAGATTATTTAGTATTTTAATAATAAGTAAAAGGTGATGAAAAATGTTTATCATAACTAGGCACAAGATGACAGTAAGACTAAACTTGCCTTTAAAAACAGAAAAATGAATAAATGCAAGCTACGTTTTGCAGGTAGGGATAATTAGTCCGGTAAATACCTTTAGTGCGCGGGTGGAGGAAAAGGGAAGGAATCACTAGCATAAATAAACAAACTCCTACTAGAGGGCCTAAGTGAGCCCGCACTGCAGGTTAGGCCCTCCTGTAGAGGAAGTGAGGAAAAGGAAGGGCTGGTCTAGCTACCTACCAGCCGGCTTTCCGTCTAGTGTCGCAAAGAGGCCGTAAATCGGAGAATACCACTTGTCCCCGCCCACAATGGGCGATCCTAGAGAAAACTGACCAATGGTGAGCTGCAGAGCGGCCGGTAACCCAATGGCTCTGGAGTGGGTGGAATTCGGAACTACGCTCTAGCAGTTTGAGGCCCAGAGTTCGGCGTTTCTGCGCACGTGGTGAGCTACGTTGTGTAGACTCGGCTTGAGTGTTGGAGAGTGACCTGGGCTGGAGTGATGGGGCCAGCCTCTGCAGAAGAGCACCTGCGCCGAGCTGCTGGGGAACCAGAGGTAGGTAGAGCTCCGTCGGCTGCCGAGCCAGAGATAGCATGCCTGGTCTGACAGCTGTCTAGGAAGGGCCACGAAAGCGGCTTACTGCAAAAGTTCCGTTCTCACAGTCCTTCTAGGCGAGAATACTAAAATAGTCTGGAGGTGCTAGCGGAGGGCGACCTGGCAAGATGTGCTTAGTTTAGAGCGAGAAATGGAAAAGGCATTTGAGAAGTCCCAGGACTGTGTCCAAGCAGGCGAAGAAACTTAGAAATTTATGGAACCTGAAAGTAAAGTAGTTTTGGGCATTGCTGCAAACTTGTGTGGTCAGGAAGACGGAACCCTCAATTTAAGGCTTTTTCAGTGTGGCACTGTGTAATATTCCTCTAACGTATGGTTATTTTGCATTTTACCGAACATGACTCCCATTTACAGGAGGGTCAGGAGCAAAGGTGAAGTCTTTACCCACAACCTTTCATGGTGGCACGTGAGACAGCAAATGCTAGGGACCTGAAAGTTTACTACATTGGTTTCTCCTTCTCTGGCTACAGATGATGGGACCAGCCATGGATGGCACAGTCCAGGGGGGAAAGAAGATGGCCTCAAGAAAACGTACAGTGGCTGGGTCCCTAGTAGACAGCCTCCTGCAGCCTGTGAAGCTCAGCCCGGAAGAACTGTACAAGGAGCCTACCAATGAAGAGCTGAATCGACTTCGGGAAACTGAGATCCTGTTCCATTCCAGCTTGCTTCGTTTACAGGTGCTGTTGGGTAGCTAGAATTGGACTAGAAGGACTTGGCTGAGACGCTGAGGCCAATGGATTCTCCCTTACCCCCCTTACAGGTAGAGGAGCTACTAAAGGAAGTAAGGCTGTCAGAGAAGAAAAAGGGTCGGATTGATGTCTTTCTTCAAGAGGTCAATCAGCGTATCAAGAAGGTGCCCTCAACTGCAGAGACAGAGGTGAGGCAAGTGGTCTGGGGAACTGGAATGTGGGGCCTTCAGTAAGGAGCTAGGGAACTGATTCTCACTATAAGGAAGCTAGACTGTAACGATTTGAGCTTGGTTAAACGTGTAGCTTGGTTAGACATATGGTAGGAGGTTTAGCTTAGTGGCATAAGCGCCTGCCTGGCAAGTGTGAGGTTGTGAGTTCAATCCCCGGTACCCCTCCTCCCCCCCAAAAAAAAAGACATGTAGCTATGTTTGCTTCTCTGTGTTTGTTTATTGATTTATCAGGGTCTCAAAAAAAAAACTCAACATAGTTAAGACTGGTTTTAAACTTACTATGTAGCCCCATGTGGGCCTCAAACTCACAGCAGTCCTGCCTCAGCCTCCTAAGTGCTGGCATTACAAGCCTGCAGCACCATGTCCATCTAAAAAACATTTTGAAACACAGTTTTGAGTTGTCCTGGCTAGGGTCAGGCTTGTCAGTCTTATGCCCCAGCCTTCCACAGTGTTATGATCAGAATAGTGTGCTGGCTCATTGAGCTCTATTTTTTTTAAATTTTATTTAAGAGCTTTTTCAAAGCGTCATTGAGCTTTTTTTTTTTTTTTTGCTACTTGAGATGGAACTCATGATCTTGTGCTTCCCAGACAGGCACTTGTGCCACTGAGCTAAACCCTCTGGCCCCTTTTTTTGCAGAATTAGTGACTTTGCCAGTTCTGGCAGGCTTCTTGTCCACTAAACTGATAATAACTCACAGAATGTATCTATCACATGAACTGGAAAATGCCTCAGAAAGATAAACTCTCAACACAGGTGTACTTTCCAGAAGTCTTAAAGGATGGATAGTATCACTAAACTTCTTTAGGGCCTTCTTTGCTGGAAATGGCAGCACACTCTTGCAAGAAGAGTATAGCAAGGAGATTTAAGGTTAAGGCCAGCCTGGGCTACACAGCGAAACCCTGACTCGAAAAACAAATGAAAGCAAAGAACTGTGTGACACTTCAGTACAAGAGCACACCCAGGACAATTAGGATACATTGAAAGTCAGACGTGATGATGCGGCTGTATAATCCCAGCACATGGGATGCTGAGGCAGGAGTTTATAACTTCAAGGCCATGTTTCAGGATACTCACCTGAGCATTAAAGCCTGTGCTTTTTATTTATAACTCACTGGCAGTACTGCCCCAACAAATGTCTTGATAGACATGTTGTGTATTTTTGGTGCAGTGGTGTGAACTCAACCTGATATATGCCAAACATGTGGGTTTTTTTTTTTTTTGTCTTTTTCGTTTTTTATCCGTACCAGGGATCGAACTCACGACTGCCTGCTTGCAAGGCAGGCGCTTATGCCGCTGAGCTAAATCCCCAGCCCCCAAACATGTGTTTTTGATATGTTTTTGACCTTGTGATATACACTGACCCCAGAAAAAGTTTCACTCAAACTTTAAGGTGCATATCTACAGATTTTGCTTTCAATTATGACGTCACAATCATGCAGGGTTTGAAGATTCATGTTCTTCACTCAGCCCATACGAATGGTCCCGATATCACCAAATGTAGATATTCTGGAAAGGTAGGCACAAAGTTTGTGATGAGTTGGTGGGTATAATCCAGTATTCTCTCTTCTGGTTATAGGGTTGCTCAGTAGAATCTTTTTGTTTGTTTGTTTGAACTGGTACCAGGGATTGAACTCACGACCACGCGCTTGCAAGGCAGGTGCTTATGCTGCTGAGCTAAATCCCTCACTCCTTAGAATCCATTTTGTTAACACCAAGAATTAGTTTTTGAGAAGTTTTTTTTTTTTTTTTTTTGTCTATATGGTTGTTTTTGTTTGGCTTTTCTGTTTTGTTTTGATGAGTTTTTTTTGTACTGGGAATTAAACTCATGACCTCATCCTTGCCAGGCAGATGCTGTGCCACCGAGCTATATCCCCCACCTTTTGGTTTTGTTTGAGACAGGGTCTTGTTTTGATACAGGATCTCGCTGTGAGATAAGATCTTGCTGCATGGTTCAGTCTGGCCTTGAATTCATTATGTAGCCCAGGCTGGCCTAGAACTTAATGGTGATTTTCTTGCCCCAGTGTCCCAAGGGCTAGGATTACAGGTGTGCACCATCATACCTGGCTAAGAATAGTTACTTTAATAGTGTGTAACCCTAAATGCCTTACTTTCTGGTGTGTCCATTCTTAGGAGAGATTCCAGCTTCAAATTCACAATCACAGAAGCAATGACTAGGGTGTCACAGACTGAGGTGTACCTATAACCATGTTTCTGGTAGTCTCTGTATTCTTGGGCAGTGGCAGTGAACCTGTGGCATGCTTGTTGTTTTTAAGACAAAAGATATTAATGAATTGTTTCTAAACTAAAAACCTCAGTATTTGGGTTTAGTTGCAGTTGTTAGTACTTCGTGATGGGTAAGTAAGTGGGTTTGGGGGATAGTTCAGGCATTCACCTCTAAGAAGTTCACTATCACCTGTTACAGGGAATCAGTGACATTCACATAGTACAGCTGGTCTCAAATTTGTATAAGGAGATAGAAATGGTGATACTTCTTTCATGCTCAGTGTTTGTTTATTTGTTTTCTTGGTATTGGGAACTGGAGTCATGACCTTGCATTTGCCAGGTGGATGCTTGTGCTGCTAAGCTAAATCCCCGGTCATCATGCTCAGTTTTTAATAATTAATCCACCCTCTTCTTTTGTACTAGAGATTGAACCCAGAGCCGCAGGCCTTCTTGGTAAATTATGTGCCACTGAGCTACATACATCTCTTTCCTTTTCTGTTTTTTTGAGAAGGGATCTTGCTGTGCAGTTCAGGCTGACCTCAAACTCTCTCTAGGTAGCCCAAACTCACTGTGGTCCTCCTGCCTCAGCCTCCCAGAGTGCTGGGATTACAGGCATGTGCTATGGTGTCCAGCTCTTTCTTTTTGTGTTTTATTTTGAGACATAAAATGCAGTTTGACCTTGATGTCACAGTCCTTTCTCAGATTCCCTACTAGCCAAACTATAGACATGTGCCACCATGCTTGGCAACCCAGATCTTAAGGGGCCCTTTCTCAGCAGCCTCCTCAGATTTTTAGGGGTTATTTTGGTGACAAGATCTCACTGTTTAGCCTCTGCTGGCTCCAAACTCTTGATCTGCTGACTCAGCCTCCCATGCATTGGGATTGAAGGGTTCCACTATCATGTCCCACCACATTTGTAGATGAGATGCTATGGTGGTCCTCCAGGTCTGTATCCAGTAATGACAGAGTTGACAGTGTTTTCCTTCCCTACCTTATTTTAGCAATGGTTTTCTCATTGTGCAGGCAGCAAATCCATTAGAATAAAGAAACTAGTATCTATGTGAGTTTGGCGTTAATATCAACATGTGTAACTCTCTCTATCCCCACAGCTTATTGACCAGGCATGGCTCCCAGCTGGGGTTCGAGTCCCTCTCCACCAAGTGCCGTTTACTGTGAAGGGCTCTTTCCGCTTCTTGCCTCCAGTCCAGGTCACTATTGTGGGCAGCTATCTTCTGGGTACTTGTACCCGGCCCGACATCAATGTGGATATGGCACTGACTATGCCCAGGGTAAGGTTTAGGGTTTGGGGGTAGAAAACTTAGTACCTGACCACTTACTAATCCCTGAGTCATTCTTTTCCACATGCCACTTGTCATGGGATTGAAATTGGAATTCTAAATCAAAAGAGCAAACCACCGCAGTCATCTTCAGAGCACCCTGGGTGGGCTGTTGGGGAGTTGCTACCCTTTTGGAACATTTCTTCATTTGAGAATTTTTTTTTTCCTAAATCCACTTTATTTCAAGAATTTAAAAAAAAAAAGGAAAGAAAAAAGCTTCAACAAAATTTTAAAACGCATCATGTAGGAGGTTCATTGAGAATTGAATATGGTGTTGCTAGCCTTGGCCCAGGCCCTCTACAGTCCGAGGAGCACTAGGGCTGCCACCTTGCTGTTTTTTATGCTCAAACCCTGCAGGCATTTATGTGTTGGCCCCCTCTCTTCTTTGGCCTCCTCAGGAAATCCTACAAGACAAGGACCTGCTGAACCAGCGCTATTTCCGAAAGCGTGCTCTTTACCTGGCCCATTTGGCTGACCACCTGGCCCGAGATCCCCTGTTTGGCAGCGTTCACTTCTCCTATGCCAACGGCTGCCACCTGAAACCACTGTTACTGTTACGGCCACATGGTGGGAAGCGTACACTGGGTGGATTTGGAGGGAGAGCCATAGAATGCTCAGGTCTAGGGGATTAGGAGTGAGTCTCAAGAGCATGGGGAGAGGCATGAGGCTCCAGTGTGAAGGGCAAGATAGGGCACGCACATTCTGAGGTGGGAAGGCAGGGGTCCCTAAGTATAAGAGGAGCAGAGTGGAGACTTCTGTGGTTTTCAGCGCTTCCTGTCTCCACCTAGGAAAGGATGAGCACTTGGTCACTGTGCGCCTACATCCCTGCCCTCCACTTGACTTCTTCCGCCCGTGTCGCCTACTGCCATCTAAGAACAATGTGCGCTCCACCTGGTATCAAGGACAGAGTCATCCAGGGGATGGTGAGCAAGTGTTGGTGTAGAGTGGTGCTAGAGGGAAGGTTGTGGTGTTCTCTCATTTCGTGCTTTCCTTTTTCCTCTCACAGGGAAACCAGAACCTCCTACCCCTCACTACAACACATGGGTCCTGCAGGATACAGCTCTAGAGTCCCACATGCAGCTGCTTTCAACTGTGCTGAGCTCTGCCCAGGGGCTGAAGGATGGGGTGACACTTCTGAAGGTCTGGCTGCGGCAGCGGGAGCTGGACAAGGTAAATTTGGAGTGCCCCAGCCCCCTGGCTTGCTGTGTGACGGGCTGGCATTGGGCTCAGACCTGTTCCTCTCTGTTGCAGGGCCTGGGTGGGTTTAATGGATTCCTTATCTCCATGCTGATTGCCTTCCTTGTGTCCACACGCAAGATCCACACTACCATGAGTGGCTACCAGGTCCTGAGAAGCGTCTTACAGTTTCTGGGTGAGGCAGCTAAACTGTGGAAGGCCAGGAACTCTACTAATCCCAAGAATCCCTTGATTCCTTGCTGTCAGATGAAGAGGCAGCTTGTTGCGGCCACCAGGCCAAGCAAGGTGTCATTAGGGCTGGGTCTCCAGCCAGGGAACTCCTCCTTACAGCCTTTTTTGGTTTCCTCCAGCCACCACGGATCTGACCGTTAATGGGATCAGTTTATGTCTCAGCTCAGATCCCTCCTTGGTGAGTTGAGGAAGGCTCCAGTCTGTGCCAGGAGGCTGGAAGGTAAAGCCCAACCCTGACTGGTTTCTCTCTACCCTGCAGCCGGCCCTGGCTGACTTTTACCAAGCCTTCCCTGTTGTCTTCCTGGACTCTTCAGGCCGCCTCAACCTCTGTGCTGATGTTACCGCCTCCACTTACCACCAGGTACCCATGGGCCCCAACTCCTGCGTTCCCTAGGTAGCCTAGCTCAGACCGTTTGGGGCAGTATAAGAGCCCCAGAAACTCCTCCAAGGAAGTGAGGTCAGGCATATGTCCTGGTCTGAGCCCTTGGGTCAAAGAGAGCTACAGTGATGGACCCTCCTTACTCTGACCTCAGGTGCAGCATGAGGCACGGCTGTCCATGGCGCTGCTGGACAGCAAAGCTGATGATGGATTCCAGCTGCTGCTGATGACTCCCAAACCTATGGTCCGATCTTTTGACCACGTCCTGCAGTGAGTTAAGGGGTGACCAGGGTAGGTAGGTGGGTCCTGTCTTCTGGGGCAGTGGCGTAAAGATCCTTAGGCAGATGATCAGACTTTCTAAGGAGGAGATGTTACCCTAGGCTGACATACTTTGATTCCACTTTCTCTCTGCCCCTCTAGTGTCCGTCCAGTGAGTCGCCTGCAGGCAGCATGTCACCGGCTAAAGCTCTGTCCAGAGCTGCAGGACAGTGGTGGGGACTACGTCTCAGCTGTTCTGGGCCCACTAACTGCCCTCCTGGAGAAGGGTCTGGGGACCCGACTGCAGCTGCTAGCTCACTCTCGGCCCCCAGTCCCAGAGGTGATTTGGTATAGGATGGGGAGTGAGTGGGGCTATTCAGGGGTCTAACATATGCAAAGGGCCTGGCATCCCTCTTTACCGCAGCTGGATAGTGTTTCCTTTCTAGCTAGACTGGGAGAGTCCTGAGTGGAGTTGAGCTTTTTTATTCTCTATAGTGGGACATCAGCCAAGATCCACCAAAGCACAGAGACTCTGGGGCCCTGTCCTTGGGATTGCTCCTCCAGCCTGAGGGACTGAGCAGTGTCCTTGAGCTGGGTCCAGAGGCTGACCAACCTGAGGTGAGGAGCCCTAGGATATATGGGAAGGAGGGGTGGCTAATCTTTATACTGCATATGTTGAAGCCTGTCCGAGAAGTTTCTGAAACACCCTGCCTGCTTGCCCACCTGCCCACCTTCCTTCTTTTTCTTCCTCCCTCTTCCCCTCTTCCCCCCTCTCCCCCCCCCTCCTTTTCTCCCTTTCTCCCTTTCTGTCTTTCTCTTTCCCTTTTTCTCTGCTGCCTCCAGCACTCTTGGTACCTCGCTCACTCTCTCTCTGTCTCTTTCTTTCTCTCTCTCTTCTGAAACAGGGTCTCATTGTGTAATTTAGCCTGGTCTCAAACTCATGGCAATTCTCCTGCCTCAGCCCCTTGAGTGCTGGGATTATAGGCATTTGCCACCACATCCAGCTAACCTTTCTTTTCTAATCTCTTCTCTCATCCCTTGGCTCTCCTCAGGCTGCTGACTTCCGCCAGTTTTGGGGATCCCGCTCAGAACTACGGCGCTTCCAGGATGGAGCCATTCGGGAAGCTGTGGTCTGGGAGGCATCCTCTTTACACCAGAAGCGTCTTATCCCCCATCAGGTGGTCACCCACCTCCTGGCACTGTGAGTGTTAGCATCTGCATTTGAGGAGGCAGCCTTAGGCTGGAGAGCCTTTTGGAAGGATGTAGACCAGCTTTGGAGGTTTGTAGTTTGTCTGCTGGGATATAGCCCCTGAGGCACCATTGTGTCTGTGTCTCTCAGCCATGCTGATATCCCAGATACCTGTATCCACTATGTGGGAGGCTTCCTGGATGCCCTGATCCAACGTCCGAAGGAGGTAAGGGCTTTGGGATCAAACCTATACAAATGGGTGTCCTGTCCGCCTCTGTCAGCTTTCACTTCCTGGGGTGGCCAGCAGGGGGTGTGCCGGCTCCACTACTTCCTGAGCCAAGGTCGAATTCCAGGTGGTACTGTGGTTATCAGCCTCTTCCCTCTTTTCCCCCAAGCCCTCTAGCACGGGAGAGGAGGCCCTCACAGTGGCAGTGTGTTGCTATGATGACCTGAGCCGTCTGCTGTGGGGGCTGGAGGGTCTCCCTCTGACTGTGTCTGCCGTCCAGGGCGCCCACCCTGTGCTGCGCTATACGGAGGTATGGTACAAGGAGGCCCTTTACACAAGCTTGTCTGTTCCCCAGCTCTGCTTCAGTCCCTTATGCTTCCTGCCTCTGGATACACTCAATCCTACGTGTCTTCCTCAGCCCTCTTCTTCCACAGGTATTCCCACCAGCCCCAGTCCGACCTGCCTTCTCCTTTCATGAGCATCTCCAAGAGCGGGGCTTGCTATTGCCCCGGTCGGATAAACCCTGCCCGGCCTATGTGGAGCCCATGACTGGTAAGAAGGCTCTGAGCAGCGAGTGACAGCGCAGTTCTATGCCAAGCTGCAGCATGAGACCTCTTGTTCTTCTCCCTCAGTGGTTTGTCATCTGGAGGGCAGTGGTCATTGGCCTCAAGATGCTGAGGCGGTGCAGCGGGTCAGAGCCGCCTTTCAGCTGCGCCTAGCAGAGCTGCTGACACAGCAGCATGGACTGCAGTGCCGTGCCACTGCCACACACACTGATGTTCTCAAGGTCAGGCTGGTGCAGGGCAGGGAAGCCCAAGAAAGAGGCTCTGGGGATGGCAGGGTGAACAGGAAGAGGCCGGTGGACACCAGGCTGGGGAGCGGGAATGTAGGCGGCAGAGCCGCCCAGGTCCCAGCTTGATGTTCACTTCCTACCCCATACTCTACTGCAACAGGATGGCTTTGTGTTCCGGATCCGGGTGGCCTATCAGCGGGAGCCACAGATCTTGAGAGAGGTGCAGAGCCCTGAGGGGATGATCTCTCTGAGGGACACGCCTGCCTCTCTCCGCCTTGAGAGAGACACAAAGCACTTGCCCCTGCTCACCAGTGCCCTGCATGGGTATGCCTCTTTTGGCCTCTGGTTCTATTTACCAGACTGCCTGTTCTTTTGGAAGTCAAGTAGCTCAGGTATAGGTTCAGAATCATGGTGCTGCCACTTTGGGTGGGTTTCCCTCCAGACCTTTTCTCATTGGTAGGGTTGACTTTTTAGGTGTTTGTTAGGAAGACGTGAGAAAATGTATGTAATGCATCAGTGTGGAGGTCAGCACTGGGTACAGGTTGGGTAAACAGTAGCAGTGAGGCTAAGGCAGAGATCTTGAGCCCTGAGTGTCTGCCTCTCACTGCTATTCCTCTTCTACCCCCAGCCTCCAGCAGCAGCACCCCGCCTTCTCTGGTGTAGCTCGGCTGGCCAAGCGGTGGGTGCGTGCCCAGCTTCTGGGTGAGGGGTTCACTGATGAGAGCCTGGATCTGGTGACTGCTGCCCTTTTCCTGCACCCTGAACCCTTCACCCCTCCCAGGTGATTCCCTCCACCTTCTCCCCAGGCAGGAATCTCCCTGGAGGCCAGCTTTCATCCTGCATGCTGTAGCCTCAGTCTGAGTGGGAGAGGGAACTGAAGAAGTGGTGGAGACTGTTCTTAGACACTGTTTCTCCCACACGGGAGTCATACTAAGAGGTCTGGGCCGCCTGGATTGTGGGAAAATCCTGGCAGGGGGCCATGGCAGGGCCCCAGACTCATTCTCACTCCTTCCACTCAGCTCCCCCCAGGTTGGCTTCCTTCGGTTCCTTTCCCTTGTATCAACCTTTGATTGGAAGAATAATCCCCTCATTGTCAACCTCAACAATGAGCTCACTGGTAAGTGGTGGGAGTGGGGTCAGACTCCTGGGAGAAATACTCTATGGATTATAGAGTAGGACAAGAGGCAAGGCTTTCGAAGTTAGGTTTTTTCTGTGCTTATCCTGTCCTGGTATCTAAATGTGACTATCTCAGAGTAGGGAGTTCTGGAGAGGGGGAGATCAGGTCAAGCCTGGCTGTTGCAAAGAGGTTTGCCATGTGGTGGTCAGAGACAAGAGTGGCTGGGGTGGTAAGCAGGCTGCCTGAAGGGCTATGGAGGAAGATCCTAAATACCAGGTGAGAAGTCTTATGCAGGAGCAAGGAAGCGTAAACTTGTAGCCTACACCTATTTAGGGTGGGTATGGCAATTTCCAGCTGTAATCTGAGGAGCTGTGCATCTCAGCAGAGAGCAGGGTGTCAGATTCCTAATTCTCTAGGTGTGGGAGCTAAGGTAGGTAGCATGGGGCCAGGAGCAGGCCTCAGCTTGTGCCTGCCCGGAAACTAGCCTGGAGGTGCCAGGCAGTGGAAAATTCTGCCCCTGAGTTGAGGGGAGATTAACATCCCCCAGCTAAAATAAATGTGGTATCCCTTTCTTTACTTTTGCTCCTTGGGGAAGGGGTATTGGAAAATTCCTGTGCTAGGCAGCTGCTGAGTGCATAGTGGGAAGACTTGGGGGTAAGAGTGTCTTCCTGGAAGGGATAGTCTGACCCAGGAACCCCACTTGTCTCTAGCGGAGGAGCAGGTGGAGATCCACCGTGATTTCCTGGCAGCTCGGACGCGACTCCCTGTTATGGTCCTTGTGACTCCGCAGGACCGCAAAAGCTCTGTGTGGACACAGGATGGACCTACAGCCCAGGTTCAACCCCATACCTACCCCAAATTTGATTTTTCTGTCCCAGGGAAAATATGGCACAGCCTAAACTAGGAGAAACCTGTGGTTAGTTCTGGTCTGATGTTTCTCTACCCCCTTAGATCCTCCAGCAACTTGTGATTCTAGCAGCTGAGGCTTTGTCTATCCTAGAGAAACAGCTGATGGATCCCTGGGGACCTGGAGACATCAGGGTAAGCCTCAGGTCCACAGCGACTCCAGGAGCTCTTGGGCTTCTTTGAACCCTGGAAGTCCAGTATTTGGGGAGCCCTCGCAGAATGTCTAGTCCCCTTGTTTGTTGAGACTGGCAGTCGTGGAGCCTAGAGGAGAACCTGGGCTTCTCTAGGACCTTTCCTCCTAGCCTCTGCTCTGCCTGCTTCTTCTGGAGGTCTTGGCATTCTTGCTTCAAGTGGGCACACAAGCCTATATTGGATGGTTGGATGCAGGGAGGAGCAGAGTGGGCATGTGGAAGGGTCTTTTACTGGAGCACTGCTAACACCTCCCTGCCCTCTCCCTAGACGGTGTTCCGGCCACCCTTGGACATATATGACGTGCTGATCCGCCTGTCTCCCCGCCACATTCCCCGGCACCGTCAGGCTGTGGACTGTCCAGCTGCCTCCTTCTGTCGTGGCCTGCTCAGGGAGCCAGGGCCCTCATCGCTGATGCCAGTGCTGGGTTATGATCCTCCTCAGCTCTATCTGGCACAACTCAGGGTGAGTCCTCAAGGGTTGGTCGAGCTGGGGAACGGTACCCACTGTAATCTTGTCTCTTTTGTCCCTTCTTAGGAAGCCTTTGAGGATCTGGCACTTTTCTTTTATGACCAGCATGGTGGAGAGGTGATCGGTGTACTCTGGAAGCCCACCAGCTTCCAGCCCCAGCCCTTCAAGGTGTGCTGGCTAGTACAGCTGGGGTGTGCTGAGTGGGAATGTGGTGCCTTGCTGGTATCCATGTCTGTGTAGTCTTTCTGTGAATGACTCTACGTCAGCATGGGCTGAGGGCTCGTGTGTCTTTCTTCACCACCCTGATTCTGTCCCCCAGCAGTGTGTCTCTGGGTTTGCCTTTGTAATGCTGCAATGCACATTTCTCTGATTCCCCCAGGCTTCCAGCACAAAAGGGCGCATGGTGGTGTCTCAGGGCGAGGAGCTGGTGATGGTGCCCAATATAGAAGCAATCTTGGAGGACTTTGCCGTGTTGGGGGAAGGCCTGGTGCAGTCTGTGGAGGCCCAAAGTGAAAGGTGGACTGTGTGAGCCCAGCTCTAAAGCAAGTTGTGGTGGACCTCTGGAGCAGGACCCTTTCATAATGGGCCTGATGTCCTGAACACACTCAATCATCCTCAGAGAAAGTCCTGCCCCGACTTCCTCTCTGCTGCTTCAGCACCGAGGCAGGGATGTGGTATCTTGGAGAGCACCCTGGCCTTCCTCCCTGGACAGCCAGAAGAGGACTACAATCTTGCTCAGAGGAGACTGAATCCAGATCTGTCACCTTGCAGCCCTGGGCCTGGGCCTTCGCTTTCTTTTTTCTCCTCTTTTCATTCTTTTGTTCCTTCTTCCCTTTTTTCTTCTCCCTCTTAGGCTTCTCAAAGAAACACTTGGAGAAGAAGCTGTTTCCTTGAGTTGGAGGCTCTGTCCCCACCCCATGGGCAGGACATGTGTGCAGATCTCACTGTGCCCTGCACTTGTAGCATCAGCCTTTAGCTGGGCCCCAGAGGTGTGGCTCTTCCTAAGAGTCACAGCAGCAACACCAAGCAATGGAAAAGAGGCTTTGTGTGTCTGAATGGACAACACTGAGAGGACACAATGCCCTCCTGTGTTGGTGCTGTTGCTTACCAGAGTGGAGACAGTGGGAAAGAGCAGAGAACAGGAAAAGTGGGGTGGGTGAAAGGGTCAGGTGGTCCCCAGTGTCCAGGAGGCACATAGAAAGCATCAGGTGCTGACCCTGGCCTGTTTGTTCTGCCCCTGTGTATCACACTCGCCCTGCTGTGCACTCCTAGTGGAGCTGCAGAGATGAGGACCCAAGTCTTGTTCTCCAGGAGCTCCGGAGCCCCAGGGGACATGGGAATGTGGCCTCTTTCAGTCTGGTCCACACCCCTTTTCTGGCAGCCGCTCCCACTCCTGTTTCCTGTAATCATGGCAGTTTTTCCAGACTCAGCTCAAATGGTGCCCCTCCTCAGCTGAGCCTTTGTCCCTAGCCGGAGGTGTCCTTGCTCTCCTGTGAGCTGAGAGCAGATCTCCCTGTGAGTGCTTGGCAGGGCTGCCCGGCAGTCAGTGTGTACCCTTCTCTTGAACTCTCATTTAAATTAAAATGCTTAATTTTGTCTATGCTGTTGGTTTGTCTGCCTTTTAAACTGTATAAGCTCATTAAGGGCAGGGAATATGTTTGACCACAGATTTCTAGTATCCTTCATGGCACTTAGGATGGGACTTTGCTCAACTAGGAGATAGAAGTGTACAGCTCAAGCAGATGAAGGCCTCAGGGAAATAGGAATGGTTTATGAACTCTGTATAGAGCAGGTATGGTGTTGGAAGAGAAAACCTGGGAGATAAATAGGTCGATGTTTAATGAGTATCTAGTAGACATGGTCCTGGCACTGTTAGTCAGATGTGTTTTCCACATAGATGGAAATTTGGTAATAGACCAACTTGCATTGTTACCTGACTAGGCCGAGTGGCAGGGCCCTAGGGATGTCTTCCTTCCCAAGGAGCTCTATTTTTGAGGAGATGAGAAACCACATGTGTGAACCCTGGCCTCCAGTTTTGTTTTGCTTTGCTTTGTTTTGTGGCATTGAACTTAACCTTTGCACCAAGCTACATTTCCCGCACCCCTTGCACGGTTTCTGAGATAGGATCTCACTAAGTTGTCCAGGCTGGGCTCTAACTTGTGCTCCTTGTGCCTCAGCCCCTTAGGTGCTTGGATTATAGGTGTGCGTGTACATATCCAGGTTTTGCCTCTAGTTCTGTTTCAACTGTTGATGTCTGGACCTGTGCTTGTCCCTACTGTTACTATCCGAGGACAACTCAGCCAGGGTTGAAATTAGCATAGGGAATAAATTGGTTGGCAGTGTGAGCTGGAGGTCTGTGATCTACCTGTGCTATATGTTCATTCATGAAAAAATAGCCAGGGATTTAGCTCAGCAGCATAAGTGCCTGCCTGGCAAGCACGAGGTTGTGAGTTCAATCCTTGGTACCACCAAAAAAGAAAAATTTTTTAAAAATTAGCGTGCCAGGCTTTATTTTGGGTAAAGTAAACAACCCTTAATCTACACCCCGTGGTCCGTGGTCATCCTTGCCTCTCCTGCTTCATTCTTTGGGTTCCTAAGACATTTCTGCACAGTCCTTCCATGGGTTCTGGGAAAGACCAGAGGTTGCCGGCAGTTTCAAACCATCTTGGTTTATGCCAGGGCAGCTGCAAGCTTTTTTGCAAACCCAGCACTGGATTAACTGCTGAGAGAAGGGTAGGATCTGCGTGTGGGCAGTAGTACTTCAGCAGGTGGCTCTAAGAGGTGCAGACACCAGTGCCAACCTGAGACAAGCTGTGGTCCTGCTACCTCTCCACATGGTCCTGGACAAATAACTTCTTGGGTCAGTGTCTTCGCTTGTAGAATGGGCATGGTAATGACTCTGTCAGGTGCCCAGTGCCCAGTGTGAGATCTCAGAAACCCAAGGATGACACCGTCCCTTCCTGTGCTTTCCACTCCTGCTTGGTCGTAACTCTCCTGTGGCAGCTCGAGCTCCTTCCCTTGGATTGTGTTCAGGAGATGGGCAAAGAGGCTGGTGTCCAAGAAGACTGTCTTGGCTCCTTGTGTCAGCCAGGATGACACTGGCCTTTCAGGGCCCAGTTCACTGAGAAGGGAGGTTCTCTGGCTTTGGCTGAGGTTTGGGGCTGAGTGGTCAGGAGCTGGAAGGGAGGAAAGGCATCTCAGAAGCCTCATATGTGGTTGTGCTAGCCCTCTGCAGCACTTATTTCTACAGGTGCACACTGGTGGGGTGGTATCTGATGTATGACATGAGCTGTCCTACGTGCTAGGGTACACATACCTGTATGGACTGATCTTGGTGTGCGCTTTTGCCTTCAGTTCTGGATTACTGCAAAAGGGAAAATTTCTGGTTTTGGAGAGCACGTTAGAAAAAATTCTTAAGTAGGATATTGAAATCCTGGATTTTGCCGTTTTAAATAAAGTTTTCAGGCCAGAGATATAGCTCAGCAGCAAGGCGCCTGCCTGGCAGGTGTAAGGTCCTAAATTCAATTCCTGGTACCTAAGTAAATAAATGTTTTCCCTTTTGAAGTGATTCCAGTTTCCCCAATTCTTACCCTCTGATTGCCTCTGGTGCAATTTAATGGACTCTCAAAGAATCTTCCTTTCTGGCTGTGGTCATGAAGTGTTAATTATTTATTTATTTATTGGGAATCAAACTCATGACCTTGCGCTTGCCAGGCAGGCACCCTGCCGCTGAGCTATATCCCTGGCCCTTGGCCTTTCATTCCAAATCCTGTTTAACCAAAGACCATACTTCTCCCCTCCCCTCCACATCCAGCTCCTTGGGAGGAAAAAGAACAAGACACCGAAGGGGTCCATGCAGCAGGTCACATTCAGTAAAGTCCTGAGGACAGCTCAGTGCCTGACTTATGAGGTCATATTTGGGTTAACCAGCCTCCCCCCAGCATTCATATCCACCCCATATCCGGTACTTGTTTAGTGAGTCACAGATTAGTTCAGCTGAGTGATAAGGGAGAGGAGAACCCTGGGGCTTGTGAGTCACCCCTACCTTCCACATGAAAGGTCAATCTGCCCATCCCCTTGTTGCAGAGAAAAAGAAAGGAGGCATCTCAGAACATCCTGGGGAGCAAAGGGTAACTAGGAAGAGGGTGTTCCAAACCCAAAGGAAGACTTGCTCTGCCACGTTAGTGTCTGGGAAGTGAGGATAGTTTTTCTTATTTATGTGCAGCACAGCGAGGTGTAGGAAGTTACCTGGGGTCAAATGGAGATGGGAGCAGGGGAACTATGGAGAATCCAGTGTCCTGGCTCCCAATAAACCACCTGCTGCTGAACCTGGCCTTCATGGGCCCAAGGGGTGAGGTAAGGAGGAGCAAAGAGGCCTGAGCAATAGATCTCTCCAGTAGGGCAGACGAGGGGAGAAAACCTAGGCCCTCTCCCTCTGCCTTTATTACAGCTCTTATTAGCAAGACCCAGAGGAGCAGGTTCAAGATGGGGTGGATAGGGGCAGAAGGATGAGCACTCTGTTCCACTCACGTCTAAGTGTCTGCCCCTTGACCTGGGAGCCCCTCAAAAAGAAGCCCCAGTTCTCTGTTCTTCCAGACTGGAAACCTGCAGAGCAATCTCTCAAAGTTTGAATGTTTGAAGAGGCCAAGACCTAAGGGGCAAGGGAGCATTTGCAGTCCAGCCCCTGGACTGTCCACCGACAGTATGGATGAGAACAACTATCAGTTGGCACCCTAGCCTCTCCTGAATTGCCCTTCACAGCACCCTCCCCACCACACCATCTCCCAGCCTTTGGGGATGCTCTGGAGCCAGTTTGCCCTTCCTCAGTGACTCCTCTCCTTTTGAGCGGATTCCTGGTGACTGCACTGTAATTAGCAGTTGGACTGGGCTGGGATGAAGGCCGAGCATCCTTGGGCTCCCACATGCTTGTTGCCTATCCAGCACGTCAGATGTGGAGCCTCTTGTCAAGTCCATGGCCCTCCCCTGAGACCAAGGGCCCTTCAGAGAGCAAGTGTCAGCCTGCCCCTGGGCGCCACCTCAGCTGTGGTTCCTACCCACCCAATTCTTCTGCCTACCTTTAACTTCTTGAGTTTGTGCTGATATTCCTGCTTACTCTGCTTCCTAAATCCCAAATTCACAACCTCCTCCTCCCTTCACCAGTGCCCTATGTGTAGCTTCTTCTCCTCCTTCATGGCCTCTTCCCAGGCCTCCAGGCTTCAGTCTCTCCCCTTACAACCCACCCTCCGCTTAATTGGTGGGACTTTGCCATCTGGATCTTAAGACCAGTACCTGCCCCCTGGCCCAGTTTAACACCTTCAGAACTCCCCTAGCCACTGCTCTTTGTTTTTTATTTTGTTTGTTTAAGACAGGACGTCACTATGTAGTCTAGGTTGGTCTTGAGTTCCTTATGTAGATCAGGCTGGCCTCAAACTTGCATTTGAACCTCTTGTATGACTTGCTCAGTGTTGGGATTACAGGTGTATGCTCCCAGGTCTGGCCCAACCACTCTTCTTAGTGGCGGGATATTTATCAATTATAATCTTATTAAGAACCTTGATGTAAAATAGTTAAAATATTGTGGCTGAAGTAGGAGGTGTCCAGGGCTCTGCACCCTTGGCTTCTCTATTTTCACCTCTCAGTTCCTGTGAAAGTGTTCTCAGAGCCCTGGACTTATGAAAGCACAGTGCAAGTATCTCCTGCCTTGTCCAGGTCTTTCATACAGGACTTAAGGCCTTCCCTACATCACCCGTTTTCCTTCCCTAGCATTTCCACCTTTGTTCTCCTTATGTCCAGACTGGCAGCTATCTCTGATAGAGCCTGATCTAGCAATCTCTCACCTGGAAAACTCTCCCCAAAATCTCAGCCAAATGTGTTCTTGTCCAAGAAGCCCTCTGATTCAAGGTAAGGTGGTACACACCTATAATCCTAGCAGGGAGACTGAGGTAAGAGGATCACTGGACTACATAGTGACATATTGTCTCAAAACAAAACAAAACCCACTGTGGCGGATTGATAACTAGTAGTCAGTGTGTAACACCAGCTGAGCTGAATCAGTGTGGTGCTGGATGTGGATGACCCACCTGAGGACTGTTGCCAACATAAAAAGGAAAGCTAGAGAGGAATAAGGAGTGTTGCTGATTCTCTAACATAAAAGGCAGAATTGGAGAGGAAGAATAGTGTTTTGGTTCTCCTGTTGCTATTAGTTCTCCTGGAGGAGCTGGTCACACTGGCTCCTGATATGAACTTGGCTGTTATCATCAGAGGAGCTCGGGACCTTGTTGTCACTGAGGATGGCTGTGGTACTTTTCAGGGGAGCTCTAGGTCTTACTTTTTTTTGGTACCTGGGATTGAACTCATGACCTAGCACTTACTAGGCAGACACTTATGCTGCTGAGCTAAATCCCTGGCCTCTGGTTTTTACTATAAGCATTGCTTCCTGGCTCCTTTGCAGAGACCTTAACCTATTGGTATAGATCCTTCACCCTGCTGGCACAAACCTTCTAGGTTCCAGTGCTGACCTTGGGGCCTTCCTAGTGCAAATGAAATAGACTTGCCTGAGATACTAGGCCTCCAGGTGGACTCATGGAGGGCACTGTTACA